CAGGCAACTTCAAGGGACCCAAAAAGCCAGCACAACAGTACATACATATGATTCCAGAACCTCAGCGGGAGAATCAAGGCCAGCCTGGCCTACGGAGTGAGACCCTATCTGAAAAAAGAGAAACAAGGGGAAAACAAAAAAACTGCTCTAGAGACACGGCTCATTTGGTAGAGTGTCTGGTGTCTGTCCGTCATGCATAAAGCTCTGGGTTAATCTCCAGCACACAGGAACCAGGCAGAATAGCACAGTTGCGATCTAGGGTTCAGGAGGATCACCAAGATCAGGACAACCAGAGCTATGAGAAACTGCCTCACAAATGGATGAGAGGGCTCAGTGGGTAAAAGCACTTGAATTGGGGTCAACTGAGGTATGTTCAGTCCTCTGGACCCACAGTGGAGAGAATGGATGACGGAAGGTCCTCTATCTTTACACAGTACCCCATGCTTATGCACAGGGGCACACACACAAATAAATCTTAAAAGTTACAAAACACAAACAGACAAAAACCACAATAACAACACAAACTCAAACCCAGGCCAGCAAGATGGCTCTGAGGGTAAAGGCACTTGGCACCGAACCCAAAGACCTGAGTTGGAATCCTGCATCCCACATGGTAGAAATCAAAAATCAACCCCCACAATTTATCCTCTGATCTCCACATCCATGCCACAGCAAATGTCCACCTACACACACACACACACACACACACACACACACGCACGCACGCACACCAACTAGCTAACTAAATAGAAGTTTTAAAGCCCTTAAACGTCAAGGCTCATAAGCACTGTATCCTTACTGGTGTAGCTTCTGTCTTCAACCTGAAACTCAGCCACTCCTACAGCTTACTGAGTGTGTGTGTGTGTGTGTGTGTGTGTGTGTGTGTGTGTTATGTGAGTCCCAGGGGACAGAGATGCCAAGCAACAATTTTAAAACAACCTCAAGACCTCCCCACTCAGAAGGAGGTTGGCAAACTCCATTTCCCAAGACCCTCCCAGCAGCACCCTTTGAAGGAAGAGTCGTCTTCACCTCAAGGCTGACTTTCAAACCCCAGGTCAGGCAGGAGATGGTGGGACCAGAACTAGCCCACAGTGTGACAAGGTGGGAGCCCCTGAACGGTGTCTTCAGACACCGCTATCTATCTGTTTGATGTAGGTCACTGTGGCTAGCTGTGACTAGAGACAAATCCACTCCTTCTCCATCCTGTTTTTTGCTTCTTGGTTTTTTGAGACAGGGTTTCTGTGTGTAGCCTTGACTGTTCTCAAACCTGTTTTTGTTTGTTTGCTTTGTTTTGTTTGAAGACAGTGTCTCCTGTAGCCCAGGCTGGCTCAGGCTACTTCCTATGTGACATGGTGACTTTGAATTTCTGATTCTCCAACTCCTTAGTGCTGGGATTATAGGCAAGTACTACAATGCCTAGCTTGTTGGTGTGTTGGGGATCAAACCCAGGGTTTTGTTCATGCCAAGCAAGCACCCCACCACTATACACTGCCCTAGACTACCCTCCTTTTTTACATAGGGTCTTGTTATTGTCAACAAAGGACCTGGAACCTGCACTATGGCCCAGAGTGGCCTTCACTTCCAGAATGTCAGGATTACAGGTGTGAACCACCACACTCCCTCTTATCCTTGTGAGAGGTAGCTAGCTGGTCAGCAAATGTGGACAAAAGCCTGGCATTAACTCGGGCTGGCCAGGCAGAGCTCAGAGCTGGTCCCTGACTCTTCACAGCATCTCCTCTGGTTTCTTTTCCTCTTTAGTCATTAAATCACACACAAGCTACAACAAGCTAAAACACGACACTCCTCTGGTTCACACAGCCCTTCTTTCCCCCTCCTGCAGAATTTTGCGGTAAAACTTCAGCTTTACAAGAACATGCAACAGAAAGAATTAGGGAACTCAGACGATCCAAAACCAGCTAAGTGATGGTTTCGCATTTTTAAAATATATATAATGTAAAGCAGTTCCGAGAAAAGTGAAGTCACGGCCTAGGTTGCATATTCTCAGTTCTTAGAAAAGAGCATTTCAAAGAGGAAGCTGAGCGGGGCGGGCACACAGGCTGCCGCCAGAGCCGCGGTCTGGCGGGTGCTCACTGATAAACTGACTTTGATTTGGCAGCTGAGAACTGAAGCCTCCGGATGCATTTTCATTTGGCGCTGTCAGGGAGGAAACAGAAGCCCAACAGTGAGAGTTCTGAATGTGCAGAGAAACCACAGGCGCAGGTCTGTGCTGGGGAGGCTGCCTCAAGCCACTGCCCACTGCCTTTTGCGGCGCCCCTCCCCCACTGCCGCGACCTCCAGCCAGCCCGCACTTTCCTATAGGGAGTTACTCACCAGGAGTTAGGTGAGGACGCGGATGAAAAGCTGTCAGCAGCTTCCAGCTCTCCAGTGGAAAAGTAGGCTTGTGCCACACACAGCTCCACAGCTACTCTGGGGTAAACAGTTTGGGGGACATCATTTTACTAAGAACCTGCATCAAAATTAAATTTCAGACTGGAGCTCAGGTGGCTGATTGTCTAGCATGCAGGAACCAGGCCTTGAGTGTGATCCCCCAGATCCACAAGGATTAGGTGTGGGGGTGCACACCTGCAACCACAGCACCAAGGAAGTGTAGGCAGGAGGATCCAGACTTCAAGATCATGTGTAACTGCACAGTGAGTTTGAGGCTAGCCTGTCACATGAGATGATGCCTCAAAATTAACTAATTAATTAATTTGAGGCCTGAGGTATATATAGCTCTGAAGTAAAGTCTACCCAGCATGCAAGAGGCCCTGGGTTCTATTTCCGGGGCTGAAAAAAAAAGATTATGTGTGTGTACTGTCTGTATCTGTGTGTCTGTTTATTAAATTCCAATGCAACCAAAAGCAACTGATCAACTGTCCCAGACAAGGGAGACCTTAAGGAGATACAATGACCAAGTAGAATGTAGAATCCTGGGGAAAAAAAGAATAAAGAAACCAGAACAAACTATAGGTCTGGTTACTAACTTCTCAGTATTTGTTCATTAGTTTATTTTGTTAGTTAATTTTAACATCCATGCCATACTAATGTAAGGCATTCATGACAGGAACCTAGTATGTCTATAATTTAAGACATCCTGGGTTTTGATCCCCCATTCTGCATAAACCAAACTTAATGGCACACACCTGTGATCTCAATACTCAGGAAGCTGAGGCAGGAGGATCAGGAGTTCCAGGACAGACTGGGCTACAGAGACCATGCCTCACATGTAAATAAATAGGCAAATAAATAAAAATATAAAGAACTGAACTATTCTGGCAATTTTCCTGAGGCTCAAACAATGTACTTTGGAGCTGGAGAGATGGTTAAGCAATTAAGAGCACTTGCTGCTCTTCCAGAGGACCTGAGTTTGGTTCCCAGAACCCATACAGGGATGCTTAGACCTGCTGTAACCCCAGCTCAAGTTTCCAAGGCCCTCTTCTACACACGCACGCACGCACGCACAAATAGATCTAAAAAATGAATCGTTCAGCAGTCAAACCCAGATCACTTTTCAACTTGGCCTTCCTTTAAAAGAAATGTTAGCACCTTTAACACAGCACTCAGGAGGCAGAAACTAATCTGTTCTACATAATGAGTTCCAGGAAAGCCATAGCAAGTTCAAAATCAGCCTGAACTAGAGACACTGCCTAAAAACGGCGCGCCGGCGGGGGGCCCCGGGTGAAGAGGGGAGAGGAGGAAGGAGGGAAGGCCAGACAGACTGACTGCTGGATGGATGGGCGGATGGACGAACAGACGGACGGATGGATGGATGGAAGGCGGTCCTGCAGAAAGACGAATCAGCTGGTAGTCCTTACAAGGTATTGTAGGGCACTATCCTCCCGGAACAACAGACTTCATCAGACTAGCTGTGACAGCTTCCAGGACATCCTGAGACTGGAGTTGTTGACACTGTCATTCTCTCAGAGGAGTGGGGGAAGGGCCACTGGGCCCTCACCTGAGATTGCAGCTGCTCCTTCCTGCACCCCTCAGACATTTGTGTGTCATTCTACTTAAGTGCAAGTGGCCTTGGGTCTCAGAGGTGTAGAGTATACACTGTGGGAGAGACTCTAGCCATACAGCTGTAGGGAGCTGCTCATTCATGCTGGGCTCAGACTTTCTGGCTGGGTCACCCATGCTCCTGTAAGGAGCACCTAAGCCATGCTTTGTAAGCAGACGCAGTAACTCGTGGTTCCCCAAGCTGAACTCCAATGAGTTTGTTGTTGGTGTCAGACTGGGAGGGCATAAGTGTATATTTACATTTCCTCAGTGAGAGTTCTCACAGTGGGCCTGACCAGGAAGGACACGGACACTTTGGACAGTTTAAAGGTCAGAGGAGTAGGAGGTGGCTAGTAGTAGCACTCTAGCATGTGTGAGACCCGGGGACCCCGCCATCCATCCCCAGCGCCATTTTTAAACATTATTTTTTTTTAAGACTTATTTTTATTTATGTATTTATTTCCAGTCTATATGCTATGTTGAGAGGGTCTTCCAGGGGCCAGAAGAAGGCATCAGATGAGTAGGAACCATAGGAAATTACAGACGTTGTGAGCGCCTGGCATGGGTCTGATAAATGACTAAGCTTATTTATCAACACTCTATTCTGGGCTCCAGAGCATCCCACGTACACATAACCACAAATAAAATCTTTTTTAAAAAGGCATCCATGTAATCAGGGCCAGAGGAGCAGGCCTGCAATCCCAGTTAACCAGAGGAAGGAAGATGGTAAATCTGAGGTCTCCCTGAGCTACAAATTGGGCTCAAGGCCCTGATGCTTTTTCTAGGGGGTGGAGGGCAGGAAGGAGGCAGGTCTAGATCACCTGAGTGTTCTCTCACCCCTCACTGAGTCCTCATTCTCTCTCCTGAGTGTAAGGTGTGGGCCATGACAGCAGCACTCTGGAGGCTGAGGCAGAAGGCTAGCCTTAAAGACAAGGAGCTGCAGCTTCCGATCATTGACATGGTGTTTGCTTAACACATACACGGCCTGAGCCTCAATGGTGGTCTTGGGAGCACTTTCTGAAAACCTAAAATTATTTTAATAAATCAACATTTTAGGCTGGAAACGTGGCTTAGTAATACAGTGTTTGCTTAGCGTGCAGAAAGCCCTGGGCTCCAACCCCAGCATTGCAGACGTAGTAGTGCACACCAGTAATCTCAACAGTCTGGAACGGAGAGGAGGGGGTCACGAGTTGGAGACTACCTGAGCTATATAAGACACTGTCTTTAAGACAAACAGATAATAGAGCTTACATTTAAAAACTACACCATACAAAGATGTTACTAGAAAAGTCCTGCAGCAACATTGTAACATAAGACGGACTTCTTGGTCTTTGCCATCCAAGTGAATCTAGCCCTGTTGATCAGCAGAAAGCCAAACCCAACACTGCTACAATCCCAACAGAAAGGTATTTCATCCAGAAAGAAGGGCAGGACTCTAAGCCCGCAGGCTAGTCCCACCCTGGCTGTTTCTCCATAACAGTTTTGAAGCAGAAATGTTTGAAAAGTCTGTATTCATCTTGGATTTTTAAGTTCAACAGAGAATTGTGAGAATTCCGACCATTCTCAACAGCCGGCCTCAGCTCTGGAATCTAAGGGAACAGACAGTGAGGAATGATCACATTGAAGCAGAGAGAGCTGCCAGCAAGGGCTGGTACCTGCCCCTACGAGATGGCAATAGCTGGCAATGGGAGGCAGGCCACTACGCCGTTCTGTCCTCATGTCTATAATTTTAATCCATTGGCAACAACTGGAATTCAGAAGGACAGTCAAGGAGAAAGTGTTATCACTCACAAAATTAGGAAAAGACGACATGAGCTCTCCATGTGCTTCAGCGAGACACAGGAACACATGTAAGTGACAGGGGTGGGGGGCGGCATCTGCTTCTCATCAGCAAGCAAAGCACCAGCAGAGAGGAGTGGCTGAGACAACTGAAGCTCCAGCTCCCAGGGTCCAGACGTCTGGCTCAACCAAAGGAAATCTCTTCAAGAAACTTCTGTGATGTTCCTGAGACCCATCTGTGGGTAAATTACTTCAGGGGGAAGCTGTTCTTAGAAGGTTCCAGCTCTAAGGAATGTTCCTGTGTAAGTCTTCCACCTCCAGTTCCCACATACTTTCATGGACAGGGTTGTCAGAAAGATCAGTCATCTTCACAGCCTGCAGGCAGGGCTCAGGACTGCAGGCCTGAACCACCCCCATCACCATCACATACTTTCCTGGGAAGAGAAGAGAAGGACGTGGTGAGGATGTTCATACTAACAAGTCAGGGAGGGAAAACCGACGAGAGACCCTGACCTTGGGGCCTTGATCAGAGATGGGAGGTTGAGACAGAAACATTATCTAGGGCTAGGGAGATGAAGCTTGGAGGCCAAGCTCAGACCTAGTTGGTAAAGGGGACTTGAGTTCAGAGCCCCAGCATCCATGCAGAAAAAGCATGCATAAAAGCATGGTCAGTGTCAAAGAAACAGAGACAGGAGGATGCTCCAGGCTCTATGCCCAAGCATCCTAACCCAGCGAGTGAGCTCCTGGTTCAAAAATAAAGTAGACATCAATCACTTGATGTGACCTCTGGCCTCTAGTACACAGGCATGTGTGAGCACACCCTCACACAAGACCATGTACACATTTAACATAATCCTGACAGTAGACACCAAAACAAAGGCAGTCAGGGATCAAAACAGATGCATATATAAACAATGAGATCAGCGGTTAACCTGGAAGACCAAGTCTGCAACTAGTTGGCATCTGCTTTTCGTATGCTAAACACAATAGACAGGCTCACTCAGCAGACAGGCCCCAGGAAACAAGCAACTCAGGATCCCATTGAGTTATTATTAGTTGCATAGCCCCAGGCAGGGGCAGAAAAACCCAAGCTTGCTCTCTGTCCCATTCATTGCTCAATGCAGGAGTGAGAGACTCTGTTCACAAGTCAGGCACTCCTGCAAAGCCACTTCCTGCCAGCCAAAATGTAAATCCAATTTTCCCTCCACGATGCCAAACCCCTCCTCTCACCACCCACAGCACACTGTGCTGTTGTTCCGATCCCTGCCACCCCCAACTTTATCCCAAACCACACTGGGTACACAAGGAAATCCACAGAAGAACAGACTGCCACCAGGATAGTCTGACATATCATTAACCACAACTTCCCATTCCCCAGGGGAAGTGCCTCTCCTTGAAAGCGCAACTTGGCTAGTCATAAACCACACAAAATGCAATTGTGTAAAAAGTCCCTTGTCACGGCAGGAAAGGCATGCAGCCAGTGCCCTACATGCCCGGCTTCTACCAGCAGGAATGGGCTTGCATACAAGTCCAGAATTTCAACTGAAAGAAGCCAGGGTTCACATGGGGATCTCTGGATCTAATTCCAGGTCCCATAGTGGCTATCCTCTGGACGTAGCCCCAACTGGTGGGGAAGACAAAAACCTTAGAGTTACAAGGCTGAAAACCAGGTGAGGCTAAGAGAACTGCCCTACAGAGCTTGGCAGCAGGACACACTTCCTGCCAACACACTGAGCCCTTCCATCTGTATCCCTCTCCAGACAGCTGTCTGGGACGCTCTCCGTTTCTCCTTCCCCACAGGACCCTGCCCAAGATCAAGCCTTCACCCTCTCCTATTTGGGCTACTGCAAAGGCCCGTCTGTCTCCTCCCAACCACTGACAGCTCCTCCTGCCCAAGAGCCTCTCCGTCACAGTGCAGCCTAAGCAACCTCTCTGCAGAATGAAACCTGGAGGGCAGAGTTCCTGACTTCACCTGTATCTTCAGCCTGGAGAGGAACTGCCAGATGCCCTAGAGACGGGACAGGGCAGGAGCAGACCAGCAGCCATGGAGGTCATTCAATGTGGGCAGGTCCTTCCCAAATGCAGCCTTTCAGGGCAGCCCCGTGGTGCCCTGTTCCCTAACTCCTGACCTTTTTGCCCATGCTGTTCAAAGGAGCTAGACAAACCATCACCGTACACAGACACAGATGTCACAATTCTGACATCTTGAGTCCCGGCAACCCAAGAGGAAAAGTAACAGTAGCCTTCAGTGCTGTCTCCTCCAGGAAGCCTTCCCTGACCTCCTTGAGCCTTGAACATGTATCCTTCTTCTGTGCCTAAGTCTGTATCTATGGTCCCCAAATAAACACCAGATAAACCAACAAGCTACATGAATGAAAGTCTCTTTATGCTCTGTGGTTGGATGTTCAGGTCTCCTGAGGCCAGCAATGGCAGCACCCAGCAGTGGCTACCACATGGTATGCTTTTGTGTTGGGACTTTTCTACTTGACAAACACTGAGGCAGGTACAACGATCGGCACTGAAATAAAAGCGCTGTCATTGCCCTGTGCACACACACCCTGTGCACACACACCCTGGGCTCACATCTACAATGGTACCTCGTGTTTTAGTGGCCTTGTGGACTTCCCTGGCTCCTTCTGAGACGATTCATGAGCAAAAGGAAACAGCATGGGCCCTGGCCCTGGGCATACAGGCTAGAGGGTGAGGCCAACAGGTTCAGCCCAATACAGGGACATCTGCTAGGTGCCAGGCTCATTCCAGTGTTGGTACCAGGCTTGAGACACTGTTCAAGGCTGCCTTCAAGGAACATTGCCTGGGCTGGGACACCAAACATATTGGAATCTGAGCAAGCCAAAGCTAAGACCAAGGGCAGTCAACTTCTTCTGTAAAGGACCAGACTACAGAAGTCAGGCTTTTGGGGGGTCATAGGATCTCTGTCACAACTACTGAACCATGTCAGACGGTGACCCTAACCTTTTGCAAATTACAAATGCATTTCAGGCCAATAAAATTTCACTTTGTAGATGCTGATTTCAAGTTGCATATACATTTCATACATCATGATTTTTTGTAGACACGTCAAAATGTAAAACACAGGCCAGGAATAGTGGCACATGCCTTTAATCCCAGCACTCAGAAAGCAGGGGCAGAGGGCAGAGGGCAGAGGCAGGCAGATCTGAGTTTTAGGCCAGCCTGGTCTACAGAGTGAGTTCCAGGACAGCCAGAGCTACAGAGAGAAACCCTGTCTCAGAAAACATTTTAAAAAAAAAAAGTTTCAAAATGTAAAAGCTAGGTCTGGAGATAGAACTCAGTGGTAAGGCACTGGGTCTGATTCCCAGTGCACACCCACACACGTGCCCACATGGACACACACTGTGTGTGTGTAACTCTATTAGTATATAGACCATTTGAGTTCGCTGGTCCTAGATTAAATTAAGACTGGGAAGAGAGGGAGAGAAGGACAGAGGGGAAGAGAGAGAGGGAGAAAAGGAGAAGAAGAGAGAATGAGAGAGAACAAAAAACGTAACCTAAGTCTGAAATCAAGAATAGCCCAGGTCAGACTCCTGACTCTGTCTCTAGACAGAATTCAAGACTTTCTGAGCAGGAAGCATTCTTAGAGAGTTTGGCCTGATTTCACAGAGAAGGAAGCCATGGAAAGGCAGGCCTGCTGAATCTGTAGGCTTCCTTTAGAAGCCTCCTGAAGCCTGTGCTGAAGCTCCAGAGTCGAGTATAGGCAGGCCTTGTCTATCTGGGTCATAGGTACAGCCGAAAATCTCACAAGGCCCTGGGTATGATATGTGTTCACTTGACATCCTTCCCAGTGAGATGAGATGCTTGATGGCTGTCTCAGAACATCTAGTTCTCAGATACACAGGTGCCAGGCATTGGACCAGATGCTAGAGTCAAGCCATCAGGACCACAGTAGCTCAAAGGGCAGCCTCAAACCCTGCAATAGCAGCATCTCCTTGGAAAGTATTAGAAAGAACTCTTGAGACTCAGAAAACCTGAGGGGATGGGCTTCAACAGGCCCCTAGGCAAACATGCCCATACATAAGAGCTTTTCCAGATAAAGGTCCATTTATCTTGGGACATTAAAAATGGACAGACATAGGCTGGGATACGGCTCAGTTGGTAGTGTGCTTGCGTAGCATGCACAAAGCCCTTGGTTTGGTCCCCAGCACCACATGAACCAGGTGGAGTAGCATATGCCTAGAATCCCAGCACTAAGGAGATGGAAGAAGGTAGTCTAGGAGTCCAAGACCACCCTCAGCTACACAAGGAATTTCAGGTGAGTCTAGGCTAGACACTGCCTCAAAATAAATGGAAAAGGACACACAGACATTTCCTAAGACATTATTCAAAACATATGGGTTAAAATGAAAAACATCTATGGGGAGACAGCTTGTGACACAGAAGCCCAAGGCTCAAAACTGGGAAGGATGAGATAGCCTCAGGAACCTACAGGCATTTTTATTGATTTATTTGTATACTATTCTTGCTGTCTGGGTTAAATCCAAGGACTCATCAACGCTAGGAAGTAGTGTTCCCACTCCAGATCCTCTTTACTTTTTGTTCTGAGACAGGCTCTCACTGAATTACCTACGTTGGCCTTAAACTCACTCCGTAGCTCAGACAGTCTTTGAACTCTGCCATCCTCCTGCCTCAGCATCCTAGTATTGGGATGAAAGGTGCGTCCCTCCAGACCCAGCTGCAACCTACAGCGTTTGAAAGCCGCGGCGGGTGTTGCTGTCATTCAAGAGGGTGGGAAGTCACCTGACAGGGGCTGGGCCAGGAAGGAGGGTTAGAGCCTGGAGGTGGGGCCGCCGCGCCCTGCCCGGCCCCGGGGAGGAAGGACAGCCCCCTGCAGAGCCCGGCCGTCCTGCCGACGTTACCTGGGAGTAGGCAGGGCCGGCCGCGTGGTACGCGCTCCAGGCCGCGCACGGAGAAGGCCCCGCTCGGGTCGCGCAGCCGCGCCTGGCCCCCTTCCGCCGCCAGCACAGTGCCCTGCATCCACACCGCCGCCAGCTCCAGCGGCGCGCGGCCCACCGCCGCCCGCGACAGCCGCCACGCGCCCGGGCCACCCTCTGCGTGCCGCCGCAGCTGCCCTGCCAGCACCTTGAGTGGCGGCGAGCGCGGCAGCCGCACAGCCCCGGGGCCACCCGAGGCCAGCGACTCGGACGCCGCAGCCGCCATGCTATGCCACCACCACTTTCCCGCCAACTCTGACGGGCGGCGGGGGCTTGGCGAGCGGCAGCCAATCAAGAGAGCGCCTGCCGGAACCGGCACTGGTTGGGGGCGGGACAGCCGCGCCCGGAGTGGGCATGCGTACTCTGAGTGACGGGAGATACGGAGTTTCCTTTGCCAAGGAAGAGCGACCATTTAAACCTTATGTCTCCGTTCCAGTTTACTAAAAAGTAAGACGTGCTCAGCAATAGTTGTAGATGATTGATAGACTAATCTTAAGAGCCGAAATAAAATGTGCACCCTTAGCAAACCATTACCACAAGAAAGGCAGAGATGTAAACAGATCCCTGAACCTTTCTGATAAGAGATCACATCTATACACAGGAGAGAGAGTTCCACAGGAATAGTTTAAGCATGGCCCCAAACAAAAATTTATGAACGGATTGGTTGTACTCTTTTAGTACCTCAGAGATAACGCTGAATATGAGCTGGTAACTTTGGTTAGGATATTTCTTATCAAGCATCTTTATAAATTGGTCCTGTGCCCAGACTCCTCCTCTTTCCTTTCTCTCTCTCTCTCTCTCTCTCTCTCTCTCTCTCTCTCTCTCTGTCTCTACTACCCTCTCAACTCCCCTCCCCATGCCCTAAATAGGCTCTATTCTATACTATATCTATCGTAAGGCTGGTTCCCCTCCCCCGCACCATATCGAGTCTCTAGCAAACACATCCCTGGCTTCCCTTTCTTTTTTATAAAACACAACAGGGTGTACATGCCGCAGAATGTCTGTGGATATCAGAACGGCCTTTGACCGTCTGTTCTCTCTGTGCATCCCAGGGACCAAGCTTAAGTCACTTGGGTTACTGAGGGGCATCTTTACCTGCTGATCTTGTCAGCCTTTTCCTGCCTTGTATTGCTTTTGTTTCTTTTTTTTTCTTTTAAACGGATTTCATATTGAAATGCTAACATTTTGAGTCTTTTGCCTTAAACACAGTAAGATTGAAATTAATGGCAACATATGAGTTTACCTTTTCTTTAAAAAAAAAAAGATTTACTTATTTTTATGTGAATTGATGTTTTTGCCTGCATATATGTCTATGCGAGGATACCAGATCCTAGAGTTACAGACAGTTGTGAGCTGCCGTGAGGGTGCTGGGAATTGAACCTGAGTCCTCTGGAAAAAGAGCCAATGCTGACCCAGCCCCTTCCTTTGTTTTTGTTTTGTGTTGTTTGTTTATTTAGGTTCGTTTCATTTTTTTTGAGACAGGCTCTCTCCGTCTAATAGCCTGGCTCACTCTGTAGGCCAGAGTGCCCTCAAACTCAGATTAAGGTATGTGCCACCACCGCCTGACTACCCACCCCCCACCTCTGTGCATTTTAATAACATGTAAATGTTAGGTCTCAAAGAAACCCGGGGCAAATGGAAGCTGAGGTGCTATTAACGTATCAAAAGCAGATTCTAGCCAGCGCTCAGACCTGTGGCTCCTCCCAGCATGTCTGCCTCTCACCAAATCCAGTCCTTAAACCTCTCCAGCCCAGATGCTGGACTTCCCTTCCCTCAGTTTACAATCCCTATACAGTTCAGCCGTATGGGCTTCCAGCCCTCTTGGTCTCCTGGCTAGCTCTTGGCCTCTTAGTCTGTATCCTGCCCCTTTTCACTTTCTCTCTCACTCCCGCCATGTCCCTTGGCTGGGTGGATTCTGATGACGACGGTTAGTCCGGACTCTTCCAGATGCCTCTGGCCGTTCTCTCCCTCATATCTACAATAAAACCTCAATTACACCAAGGAGTGATCATGTCTTCATTTTCATTCAGTAATTTAAAAGTTAAAGGAAGAAATTTTTTTATTTTATTTATTTATTTATTTAGTGCTTTTCGAGGCAGGGTTTCTCTGTTTAGCCCTGGCTATCCTGGAACTCACTCTGTAGACCAGGTTGGCCTCAAACTCAGAAATCCGCCTGTCTCTGGCTCCCAAGTGCTGGAATTAAAGGCGTGCGCCACCACCGCCCAGCAAGAATTTTTTTTTAATTAGTAGCTACATTACCCCACACCCCACTTTTAACTCTATATCACCTTATCATTCATGAGAGCAATCTACATGGTGGAGAACCTGGAAGAGGAGAATCTAGAATGGGAAATCACTGTAAACCACATTCAAGGATAGCTGTTGTTGACTTCTGGGTATATTTATTAACTTACAGATTTTTAAAATAGAAGTATATATTTTTGATATACAAATAGTTTTTGTGGTGGTTTGAATTGGTATGTGTTAGGGGTTGGTCTTGTGCTGCTATGTATTCAAATGCTAAATACCCCCCCCCCCCCAGATCTGGTAGCCGCCCCATCCCCAGGAGCAGATCTTCACATATACCAAGTGATACTATGTAAATCTTGCTCCCCAGTTTAAAACTGTTGGTTAAATAAAGGTGGCTACAGCCAATTACTGGGGAGAATAGAGGTAGGCTGAGTTTCAGTTACCTTGCTGGGGGTCATGGGTAGAGACCATGAAAAAGAAAGAGAGGAATAAGAGAAGAAAGACAGAGAGGACAGAAGTCTCCATTAGATATGAACCTGGTGCATGTGCCTGAGTGAAATGCCCCCACCCCAGGATAGACTGCTGCAACAGAAGTAACCCAGGCAAGATTCAAACAGCAAATATTTGGGGAGCACAGCTGGGAATTAACAGTCTAGCTAATAGAAATATAGATTAGGGGTAATCCCCCAGTAATTGTGCAATAGCTGATTAAATAATCCATAGGATTCTGTCTCCATTATTGGGGGGTTGACTGAGTCATATCACTAACTCGCAGAGTTTAATAAAATCCACTTATAGGTATAGTCACCATAGACTCATGTGTTTGAATGCTTGGCCCATAAGGGGTGGCACTATTAGGAGGTGTGGCCTTCTTGGAGTGGGTGTGGTCTTGTTGGAGGAAGCGTGTCACTGTGGGGATAGGCTTTGAGGTCTCCTGTGCTCAAACCATGCCCAGTATAGTACACAGTCTCCTGCTGCCCGCAGATCAAAGAGTTCTCAACTCCTTCTCCAGCACCATGTGTGCCTGTACACCACCATGTATGTGTCTCGCCTTGATGATAATGGTCTAAACTCCTGAAACTGTAAGCCAGCCCCAGTTAAATGTTTTCCTTATAAGAGCTGCTTAGTCATGGTGTCTCTTCACAGCAATGAAACCCTAACTAAGACAGTATCTTGTTTCATTTTAGAAATTAACATCTTTTCACAGCAATAACAATTACTTGCTTTCCCTTGAAGGTTGCATAATATTCTATTTATCTTATCACACTAACAACAACTGTTAATAGTTGAATATTAAGGCAATTTCCTTATAAGTATTCATAGTATAACTATGGATTTTGTGAAGCTAAATCTTTGTGCTTATCTTCCAGATAAAAGTTTCAGGAAATTATTTCCTAAAACTTAGGTGCCACTCAGTAGCTGCAGAGGATCTTGAACTCATGGTCTTCCTGCTTCTGGTTCCTCAGAACTGGAATTACATCAACCTTGTGCTGAGGATTGAACCCAAGATTTCCTGTGTGTACTCAATCAGGTGAGTTATGCTCCCTAGCAGTCAGTTCTTTTTTTGGTTTTGTTGTTTTCAAGCCTGGGTTTGTCTGTCAGCCAGGCTACAATCTTGGCTGTCCTAGGCCTTGAACTCAGAGATCTCCCTCTGCCTCCTGAGTTCTGGGATTAAAGGCATGCACCACCTACATCAGATCTCGAACCAGTTCTGAAGAGAGTCTTTACCATCATGGAGCTTTGTAGGACCAGACACCCACAGCTTATTCAGCAAGAGTTTGAGTTTGAGTTCTGTAAAGTAATAAAAGCAGTGAGGGGCTGGCAAGATGGCTCAGCGAAAGATGCCTGCTGTCAAGGCTGAGGATTTCCCCCAGGATTCACATGATAGAAATGTAGGAGAGAGCTGACTCCCACAAGCTGTAAACACACACACACACACACACACACAGGGCAGGGGGCACAATATAATTTAAAATAATTTAAGATGGTGAATTAGGCCCTGTCCATGGGACTCTGAAGGGAGTATCTCACAGGCCCCTAAGATCCTGGAAAGGCTAGTCCCCAGGGTGAGAAACCTCTGTGGCTTGCTCAGGGGCATTCACCTCTACACTTGACCATACTGGAGGGGAACCGATTCCTGGACAGAGCCAGGAGCCAGGAAAACAAAGAGAGGACTATCCTTCCATACCCAGGGCCCCTGCTGGCCTTTCCTGGGTATCTAGAAGCCAGAGAAATGATGGTAGAGAGCAGCTTCGGAGAAACAGAGGTTCCTGGGAATCTCCCACCAGGATCTGAACCTCTTGATGTCTCTACAACACTCTACCATAAGGCTGCTGACAGAGGAATTTCTCCAAACCAAGTCTGAATGTCTTGAGAGTGCAGTTTGCTCTCCCAGAGAATGGGCATTCCACATGGGTGCTATGTGCCTACCTCGGGAGGAGCCAGGATAACAAGTATTCAGGAAGCTGTCAAGGTTTCAGAATGGCTGGGACAGAGAAGACTGTGCCTACAGGACTGCTTTCTTTTATCACAAACACTTGTATATGTGTGTATGGTACATGTCCATTTTTATATGGGTGTGTGCATGTGCACATTTGAGTATGGGTACATGATGAGGGCGTTCCTACATGTGGAGGCCAGAGGTGGTCAGTGTCCTGTCTCTTCCTTGAATACTCTCTGCTGTATTTCCATGTGTGCGTGTGAGTGTGCGTGTGCGTGCACATGTGTGTGTGTGTGTGTGTGTGTGTGCCAGAGAGACACTGTACACATGTGGAGACCGGGGACAGTTCTGTCTCTTTGCCCCATGTGGGTACCATGGAGCATCTGATAGTCAGGTTGGCAGTGAACGTCTTTACCACATCAGCCCCCACATCAATCTCAACTCTTGTTTGTTTGTGTTTTGGAACATAGTCTCACTATGAAAGCCTGACTGGCCTGAAACTCACAGAGCTCTGCCTGCCTCTGCTTCCCAAATGC